TAAATAAATTTACGACTGCGCGAACCATCAATAAATCTACCGATCACAAAATTAACTCTACCACACTAGAAATAAGTCTACCGATCACAACATTAACTCTACTACTACGAGAAATAAGTCTACCACATATTATAAATCTACCACTACTATAAATAAGTCTACCATTGCGCGAACCATCAATAAGTCTACCAACCACTTAATAAATCTACCAATCGCAAATAAATNTACCATCACATGAACNGTANACTTATTNGCTGCCTCATTAATGNNATTTTCGTAAATACGTTTTTTCTCTTCAAATGAAATAAGGCTAAAACGGGTATTAATAGTTTTTCAAAGTTGTTTGAGTAATTTTCAAATAATAGCATCATTTTGGTCAAAAATCAACTTTGTAAGATTGTTTTAGTAAAGCTCCCAATATATTTTAAAAAGTTCTTTAATTATATAAAGTCAACGCCTGATGAAAAGTTAACATAAGTAATAGACTTGTAGACCAAAATACCTGAAGAAAGTTTCCCCCAAGAGTAAGCTTTTCTACGTTCTGCACCTTTTGTAGCATCTCTAGCACCGTAACTTGAAGTAAATCAGCCTTTTTGGTTGCTTCAGCATAGGAACAACAAATGTTCAATTTAGCTTCGGTTAAAGATGAGACATAAACCAAAATACACGGTACCAGAGATGTTTTCAATATGAGACAATGGATATGTGGTGCTACAATCTGCAATGGCTCTGAAACCCACCAAAGGTTGCGGTTTACTTGTAACGTTCTCAGACGTAGTGATTTGGTGAGATCAAGAACCTTGAGTTTATTGTGGAAATCAGATGTAAAGCTTTGGAGAACCGGACAACCAGATAGAATCTTAGCAATGGATTCTTCAGTAAAAATACAACCACTCAAGTAGAGGTTTTTGAGTGATGTCCAAGACACTGAGCATCTTGGAACCATATCAAAACCGCTCATATTAAGGGTGAGTTGCTTGAGAGAAGAATAGATGTAGAAGAAATCAGGAATCTCCGCTTTGTGAAAAGGATACCCAAAATCCAAGGACAGATTCTCCACGTTGCGGGACATGGCGAACTTGAACCACTTGTCCATGTGGGGAATATTCTGCGGCAACATGGTTTTGAGGCGAAACTTCATAATCTTGGAAGCAGTGTAGCGAGTTAGGGTTTTGTTTATCGAAGCAGCCTCAAGTGTATGGCTATCGAACGAGATTGAAGGTATACCGCACCATACATGCCTCCATCGTTTGGACAAGAGTGATGTTGTGATAGCGAGTTCGGTCGGAATAAAGCAGAGGATATGTTGGAGGATCTCATCTGGTAAACAGTTGATTGAGTCTTCTTCTCCTCCTTTGATTTTGCGGTGGTGGCGGACTCTTACAGCGGCGGTGCCGTTGTTCTCCGCCATCTGAACTTGTGATTTTCTTAGGGTTTTATTTTGAAACAGTTGTATAATTTTAAAGTGTGATATGTCTTAGGGTCTTTTAGGATTTTTTTGTTTGTTCCACGATTAATTGTTTCTTAATTTATGTGAAAATTTTAAAAAATTAATCTATTAGAAAAATAAAAAAATAAATAGTAATTAAATTCTACATACTAATAAAACAGAACAAGTTGCAACTTGCAAGCATATTATATTTGTGGATAGTAAATACTTTGGTTTCCTTGGACAAGGGGCAAGGGCACGAGGG